TGACCTACTTATGGTATTTGATAATTATATTATAATATCTTCAGTCTTAACTGGCTAAATATTATCAAACTTTGTAAGTTGATGCATTTTGGGTCTTATGATACTAATAGAGTTGGAGGCTTCTAATAGAAGTGATAGATTGTACAATTTATCAGAAGAGCGATTCAAGGCCCTTGGGCCTCTTGTTTTCTTACCTTGTCAGCTCTAATAGTTACACTTCCTTGTTGATTGACATCAATGTCTTTATTAGTTTGATCGTAGCCAGCAAATATAACCCGACTCCACTGGTTACCACCCTGATAGAATATGTGGCCACATCCAGACCTGTTGTTGTATACAGTCAGTATCAGGAGGTAGGCTATATACATGTACTTCTCTATATGTTATCTCTATCAGACCTTCCAGATTGGGCTAATTAGAAAATAAAAACATATTAGAATTTATGCCCAAGGTAATAGACAACAGAATATACATGTAGGTAGAGATGGACATCCTGAGTTGGATAAAGAGGTTGCTGCTGATTACAGTGTGATATCTCATCTCTCTAATTAAAACTCTTTTTGATAAAAGAATTGTCCTTTATATCACACATGTTTCATTTTAAAAAAGAATGTTATGTTTTCTACATGTATCTATATCTATTCTCTTCCAACAGGCTGTAATGGATGCCTATGCCTATCTGAGAGAGATGGGGTGTCTGGTGAATTACAGGGTCTCAGAAACCTGGCTCAGGGAATATCAGGTAACCTCCACAGACCATCTCAGGGAAACTGTGACTATGTCCTAGATCTAGGCTGCACACAAAGAATTTAAGTTCAAATCTGTAAATCCATGAAGTTACCTTAAATTGAATTTTTCCAAGTTAATGCCAGTGGTTTTCTATTTCCCTTTATAAGATCCAGATATGTGTTTCTCTCTGTCTGAAATTCATCTATGTGAGTTTTTTTTTTTTAATATAACAAATCCTGCCAATTAGAACACACCTGTGATACAGTTATTTGTCTCTCTGTCAGATATCTCTATCAGATAAATGTCCGTTTGGGATTTTTTTAATAACAAATCCTATCGATGAGGAAACATCCTGTGATACAGATATTAGTATCTATCAAATACTTGTATCTGTCTGTATGTTGATTTTTTTTCTATATAACAGATCCTACCAATGAGGACACACCCTGTGATACAGATATGTGTGTCAATCAGATATCAGTCTCTATGTGATTTTTCCATGTAACAGATCCTACCAATGAGGACACACCCTGTGATACAGATATGTGTGTCTATCAGATATCAGTCTCTATGTGATTTTTCTATATTACAGATCCTACCAATGAGGACACACCCTGTGATACAGATATGTGTGTCAATCAGATATCAGTCTCTATGTGATTTTTCTATATTACAGATCTTACCAATAAGGACACACCCTGTGATACAGATATGTGTGTCTATCAGATATCAGTCTCTATGTGATTTTTCTATATTACAGATCTTACCAATAAGGACACACCCTGTGATACAGATATGTGTGTCTATCAGATATCAGTCTCTATGTGATTTTTCTATATTACAGATCTTACCAATAAGGACACACCCTGTGATACAGATATGTGTGTCTATCAGATATCAGTCTCTATGTGATTTTTCTATATTACAGATCCTACCAATGAGGACACACCCTGTGATACAGATGAGTGCTGGAGGTGGATATCTTCTCACAGCCACCACAACAGTGAAGAAACCAACCACAGCTGCCACAATGTCATGATCAATTGTTAGCAATTTTATTGCCTGACGTCACGGCGTCAGGCAGTATAAGGATTGATATTTCCAAGATCCGAAAATGTGCGACCATATCTAAAGAGCTAGATTTTGTGCAAGCTGATTTACATTGGAATCCTTTGCCTGCATTTTAAAAGAAACAGTTTTCAGAAAAAAGAAAGATATTACTGATGCGAAATACTGCAGTGTTTACTTCCTTTAATCTTTTTGCATGGAACAGATTATTCTATATGATTTGCCGTTTCAACATGTCCGTGTATCCTTTTTTCTGCATTTCCATACTACTGGATCAGTCCATTTATATTCTACGAAAGGGGTGAATCACTCTTTTCGCGCCAAATGTCACTAGTAAGCTATCTTCGCGCCTTTTCCTTGGATTGTTCTATTGTATGAATGGGTGTGCTAACTTCCATGGAATTAAATAAAGTTTGTCCTTATAACTTCCTTCTAATGCTTCAGAAATTCTATCTACAAGTTTTATACCATTCTTTAAAACAACATATCGTATTCATCAGTATGCATGGTATATGGACATGTAATACTAAAGAAATGATGTTTCTAATTTGTTTACCGATCCCGCGGTTGGTTTATTCCATAAATGGACGAGTCCAATAATAATAATCAACGCAATTCAAGCCATTGTTTCCAGATGCATGATCTATTATATGTCTTTGTTCAGATGCACACGATAAATAAAAAAAATTGTGAATAATCTTGGATATTTCTTTCTACAAAGCCTAACTATTGAATTTACTTATTTCACTCTCAATATATCATGTATTATATGATAGTGTCCCCCCTTCCCTTTTAAGAAAAAAAATAATGAACACACATTACTACTGTTTAATTCAGAGGAGAAAATACACTCCAACAAAATGTGTTTTTAATTATATCCATCTTTTAAAATGTTCACAATGCGTGATTTGATAACAGATTTTATAGAAGGTGTTACAATGTAGCTTGAAATCAATCTAGATCCAAGGGCAGATCACTCTACTTGCAGACCCCCCCCCCCCCTTTCAACTACAAAGTTCTTTAGTATGCAGTGTAGAGATGATTCTTCTACAAGTTCAGTAAAATCAAGATTTCAATTACATAAGTTTCTCAAAATATAAATTTAGGATATTTTTTAAACCCACAAAGTATAGCTCAAAAGGGTTATCACTCTTCATGCAGATAAATTGATTGATTTAGTCAGGCAAGCTTTTTAAAAAGCTGTTACTTGTAATAAATCTAATAATTAAGCACAAAATGTTAAGTTTTAGTATTACACAGTGGGATAACCCTTGCATTTCATTTTCAGAATTTAGCATTGAATTTCCAACAATCTTTGCTCTATTGGTCAGAGACCAGAAAAGCTTATGCAATAGTAAGGTGTCCTTTGTCCCTTCGCTGCACTCACTCTGTGATCGGAAGGCCATGAGTTCGAATCCGCTGTGACTGACCTGTCGATAAAAAATGAGTCGAAAGTTGCAGGTCCTTCAGATGAAACCATAAAAACCGAGGCCCAGTGTTACGGCAGGCATTGGCAGAATTGATTGATTGACTGTATGTTGTTTAACATTCCTTTAAGAAATTTTCACTCACATTGAGAGGTCATCACATTAAAAGCAGCTGTTCTGATATGCTACCGCTCATGTAAGCGGTAGCGTATCAGAACAGCTGATTTTTATCAGATTGTTTTTATGTCATATATGAATTTTCTTATGCTGCAAAAATTTGCATGGAATTTTAAGATTTTGATGGGAACTCCCCCCCCCCCCCCCCCCAAAAAAAAAATAAACTAGCAAAACATTCTGTTGTATCCAAAAAGAACTTTATGTTGTACATATGTATTTTCGCCCAATAAAATTCTAATTTTAGAAAATCTTTGAAATGTACATTGCATACACAATTTGAATTGATTAAACAAGAGGCCCATGGGCCTTATAGGTCACCTGAGGATCATGCAACAACTTTCAAATGATTTAATTTCGTTCATGTTTTAAGGTAGATGCTATGGCATTCACAGAGGCTGGCACCATTGCTAATAATCACTATAAACTTAGCAATTGCTTAGTTTAGTTACTTAAAGGGGTTGGGTGGTCATTTTTAAACTATTTCAATCTCCTTTTGAAGAAGACATTCATATAGATATACAAAAATAATCAAATTTTAAAACTAATATGTATGAAATTTTTCTTTGTCAAATGATAATTGACAGCTTAAGATATCATGTCTAAAAAATTAATTTATATCAGGTGGTTATTGTGTTAATTTGTTGACCCCAAGCCTCCTTTATACCCATAGACAGGGTATAGGCACAAAAAATGCATATCAACTAATCAGTAATATTCAGCGATAATCAGAAGTGTCCCTACCACACATGAATCCCTGACCCTAGGTCCACACATGGCAAATTTTTGAAAAGGCACACTTGCTTATCAAAAATGTTTGATTAATGCGCCCAAGGAGCAGATTTCAAACAATTTGCTTTCAGTATATAAGTAGAGCCCCCCCCTTCTAAGGTATCCCTGACCCAGGGGCCTGGAAATTCACAATTCAGGAAGAAGAGCGCTTGCACGTCATAACTATATAGGTGGTTCATCTGCTTATTACCCAGGAGCAGAGAATTAATGTATTTTCACTATAATAATATAATCATTATAGATCCCCGCCCTAACACCAGAACCCCGACCCTGGGGTCATGAGATTCACAATTTTGGTAGAGGCACTCTTGTTCATCATAACTATGTACTTACTTAGTTTATTTGATACCCAGGAGTAGAGAAGAAGATTTTAAAAGAAATAATAATTTTCACTATATAATCAATATAGGCCCGCCCTAGCACTAGAACCCCTGATCCTGGGGCCATGAATTTCACAATTTCGGTAGAGAGCTTAATGCTGATTACAATCATGCAAACAGTTTGACTGCTTGATGTCCAGGAGTAAAGAAGAAGATTTTTAAAGATTGCACTAATTTTAGTGGTTTTGGTCCCACCCCTCAGGCCCCAAGGGGGCAGGGACCATGAAATTCACAATTTTTGTTCCCCTTCACCCATAGATGCTATATGCCAAAATTGGTTGAAATTGGTTCAGTGGTTTCAGAGAAGCAGCTGAAAATGTTCAAATGTTAACGCACGACGAACGACGACGGACGAAAACGGATAGCAATAGGTCACCTGAGTTTACTCAGGTGACCTAAAAATATAGTTTGGCGCTCTCTGCAATTGGCTTATACATTTGCCTCTAGGCCTGGCCTCGGCCATTTACTGAAGTTCGCATACAGGGTTATTTTCAGTATTTGGGGCCTTTCTACTTGCAAAATGTGTTGCCCTGTTTTAAATTTACCCTTCTGTTTGAGAAATTATACTTAAACTTAGCTGCGGATCTGTAGCGTTATGGTTTTTATATATTTGTCTTTGACCATGACGCTACAGATCACGTAATGCAAAAAAAGGTGCAATTTACGGCGCAATATTTTTTGCGCACTTTTAGGGAGAATTTCTCCACTTTCTAGCATTGGTCAATCAACTACCCTTTACTCCCTAAGACACATTCTGTAGCCAGTATGTATATTTTATCCACCTCCCAACCATTTATAGTTGTCTCTACAGGGAATGGACTCGCTTGAAGTGAATTTTCAGCAATCTAACAAATAATTTTAATCAAGCGTGTGTATCACTTGTAGAGACCTCTAAAAAGGGTTGTGAGATGGATAAAATATAAACTTAATTTGCTGTGTCATTTAACTCAAGATTCAGACATATCGACGGTTATAATATAAATAAACAATAGATACCCCCATTGACTAATTGTATCCCAGTGAAATCGGAATAAAAGATACCACAGAGTCTGCCATATTTGCATGTACTGAGTGTCATATTTGAATGCAAGCGTAAGGTAAATACGGCCAACAACAATCAATCTTAAACCGAGGCAGGCAACTGACAGATAAATCGATGATCCAGGGATTTTAACAACCTCGTTTAAATTTATATTTAAGGGGTCGACTATAGTTTTCATTGCGCAATATTTCGCACATCATAGTAAAACGAAGCGTATTTACTGTTTTAATGGAACTTTTTTCGCTTAATTATTAAAATTAAACAAAATTAAGAAATTATAGGTATAAAAATGTAACAAAATTTGATATAACTGATTTTTTAAACCGATTTTGCAATTGATAGGTAGGTTGACGTCGTTGCAGTGTGTTTTTGACGTTATGATAATCTGTACCTCTTAAAGAAAGGGGTAATAAAAATATTATTTAAGAAAAAGTAACAAACATACGCTCTTGAAATTTAAAACATAGAAATTTGAGAATATCTCCAATATTTTTATTATGTTTTCATGTGAATCCATTGTGTACGTCATATTTTGTAGTACTCTATAAAAATAGTAAAATTTGCAAATGTTTTGCATTTTGAGATGCCCCCTCTGGTAACAAGACGGTAGAATTTTGTGTTTCTTACATATATTGTATAATATAGTATTACTCATCAAATATCATAGTTTGAACAAAATGTCTATTGTAGTATTTGTATAATTTGCTTTAAAGTGCTAAAATTTGGCATTTTCCTATATAATCCTATAGTAAATGTACCTGTATTTTGAGACGGTCCCTCAAAAATACCTGGACGGTAGATTTCCCCCAAACTTTGCATGTACACTGAAAATAATGTAAGTTATATATGGTATTAAAATGAAGAGTTTCGCTATTGTAGTTTGCACACAATAAAACTATAGTCGCCCCCCTTAAATTTATGTATAGAAATGTATAAATGAATTTGACTGCGGTTGTTTAATCCACAAAATTAATGGAATCTTAAGTCATAAAATTTTATTGTGAAAGCTAAACGAGAACTTCTGAAAGATACATTATCAATCCATAATTTTCAAAGAATTTTTTATAAATTAAATGAAGAGATACCTACATGTAATATGGAAATATTTTTATTTCATGCAATACATTTGGCTGTTAAATACAAAGACACTAATTTTAACGGATAATTTGTACATGTTTATATATTTATAATTATGATAATTTATCCGTATTTACTTACTTTATTTTACTGGATATGATCTTGAAATTTGGGGGGGGGGGGGATAATTATGAATGAAAACTGCGTTTAAATATAACGCGATTGTTTCTTGCGAGCCTCCGAAATTCATGATTTTGTGAATCAACATATGAAATTAAAATTGGTCCAAATGCCGGATCGTACTGTTGTTATCCTGGACGTTTTTAAGAACATACCTTTAAAGAACCTGCTTTGGCAATAAGACTTAAATACGACTTCTTAATTTAAAAGTAGCTTATCGGATCTAACGGAAATCCATTATGAAAATAAAATGAACAACGTGAACACACCGGTGTTTTACGATGAGGGCATCGCCAGGCTTTAGGTAGGAAATGTTTTGAATGTATTGATAGTTTTTAGGCTACGTTGAACATTTTTGAAAATTTTCAGTACGATGCGCAAAAACCATCATATATCGCAGAAAACTGAAAACAGGTTCCCTGCCCATGACCTCTTTGAAATCAATGCATTAATTCTGCAAACACTTTGCATGGATCTAGAGAACAGGGGGGGGGGGGGAGGTATGGTCTGAAATGTACACAGATCTAGAAAGTGGTCAGGGATTCTATCCCCCTTCCCCTAGAATTATCAGACCTGTTTTAAAGTAATAAAAAATGACCTATGTGCTGCTAGAAATCATGAACCTCAGGTTAAATGAAGAGTCCAGTATACTTGCTTAGGAAGAGATTCATGAGACACAAAAGCTCTGTAAAATGTATGTCGTTTGTTTAGGGGACGACCATTTAATTGTGAGGGGAGAGGGGTAAGGGCAGTTTTTTTTCGAGTCAGATTACATATTTTCATGTTGGTAAAGGACATATTATTTATTTCCAATAAGATCAAGGACAGATTATTTATTTTCTTCTTCACTGAAAAAGTCGAAGCCAAAAAAAAAAAAGAAAGAAAGAAAGAAAACTAGAAAACATCGAAGTCCACAACTCTAATTCGTGGTGGAGGGGGGGGAGGAAGGGGACAGATTATCCATTTCCTGTCCAATCGAGGACAGATTATTTATTTTCAACATTTTCAAGGACAGATTATTTATTTCCAAAATCTGACCCCCCCCTTCAGAAACAAATGGTCGTCCCCTTAAATTTCATTTTTTTAAAGCGAGTTTTGTTTAAAATAATTTTCAATACAATTTGTTTATTGACCAATTGAGGGTTCTCATGGGGCAGAGAGAAAGTACATTGCTAACATTTGTATATAATAATAAGAGAAGGAACGGCTACATGAGCTGACAGGGCATTTATTCTAAGGTAGATATGATGCATATGCCATTGAGAGTAATAAATTTCTTACAGTTACAGGTAATTAAATGCAGTATTTTTTCAGTTTTAGGGACTGGATAAGGAAAAACAAACGTTTGTTCCTCCTTGTGGCTGTGATATCAGTAGTAGTGTATATTATTTACTACCTCAATCTTAAAGACCGCATCGATGAAAATTTACTCTCCCCGCATCCCATTAAAGAACAGGACAACCCTGACGTCAAATATTCCCAGGCGGGACAGGACGAGATGGTGTATAATATACTTCCTAAAGAAAACGGATTTTACATAGAGATGGGAGCGTTCGATGGCAAGCACTTGTCGAACACTCTATGGTTAGAGCGCCAACACCACTGGCTTGGTTTGCTGATAGAGGCGAACCCAGACCTTTGTCGTCAAATTGACAGCCATATGCGACATGCATGGAGACTGTGTGGTTGTATCTCAAATAAACAGAAAAATGTAGACTTTGTAAAAGACGATGTATTTGGAGCATTGAAAGATCTAGAGAAGCATGAAAACCTGCTAAGTAACCCTGAAATTATCAAAGTGCAGTGTTACCGATTGAGAGCTGTGTTGGATAAGATTGGAATACATCACATAGATTACTTCTCACTTGATGTAGAGGGAGCCGAGCTCTTAGTATTAGAGTCCATTAAAGATGATTTAATTTCAGGGAGAGTCAGAGTGGATGTGTGGACAATAGAGTACTTAATCAAAAGCAGGAATTATGTGGATTCCATCAAAACAGCCGAGAAGCTCAAACTTTTAAAACAGTTTTTTGAGGATGTGGGAGGTTTTTTCCTACACTCTACAATAAAACATCCTGTAGCAGGAGAAATGGATGCTGTGTTTGTAAACATTAAAACATGGTGTAAACTTTACAGTAAACTTCCAAATGGACAAAGTTGTAAAAGGAACCAATGAATATGCAGCAATAGAACTAACCCACTTAATGGTTGGGTTTTGTAAGGAGGGGGGATAAATCACATCATTCAGTAATTTATATCTATTTTAAAGAATTCAATATTTTTGTTATAAGAACTTCCTTACACTTTTAGTTAGCAATGTGTCAATCATCCTATATCAACAGAACTTCAACTTCGGGGAAAAATACTGAATGGAAATACATGTACACATTTGCTTTCATATTTTATTTTTGTTCAAGCAACATTATGAAAATTTCATTCTGGTAAATCACTCTGTCCAGAATTTGATTTCGAAAATGTCTTTGTACACTGAAGTAGTTCATCATCATCAGCTGCCAACATAATTTTCTGAAAGGCCTCCAGTTCTAATCTACAAAAATGATTAATATTTATTACCCAAAAACAACAGGATATTTCGATATTTTAAAGAAGAAATCTAAGATATATATAAATGTACTTTGTAAAAAGATTAGACGAAAATAAATATTGAAACTTCGGGGGGGGGGGGGGGGGGCCTTCAAAGCAAATGCTAATACTGCCATAATTACTGTACATGAATGTGATCTCTAAACATCTAGTAATCCAATTCCTATTTTTAAACTAGAGGATTGCTGGATTCATAAAGAAAATCGCCATTCACAAGCAAGTTAAAAGCTGTATTTGTAAAGGACCTCACCTTCTTTTCTGGATTTTCTCCTCCAGCTGTGATGACAGCCGAGCTGCAGCTTTTATAATATTGTGAGGTATTCCAGCGAGTCGAGCGACATTTAAACCATAGCTTCTGGCTGCCATCCCTCTTGCCAGTTGGTAAAGAAAAGTTATTGTTTGTTTGTCTTCACCATCTGGAAATTGTTTAAAAACAACAAAAAATAATGTATACATGGTTGTTTTGTTTCTCTTTATTTTCGCCCTTTCAGTGAGGCTTTCACATGTGCAAACAATTTTGTCCCATCTTAAATTCGCCCAATCACAGTTTTGTTTAAGAAATTATACTGCATTCTTTGAATTCGCCCTGTTTTAATTCACCCAACGAAGGTTAGGGCCAAATGGGGCGAAAATTTCCCTGTATACAATATATACATGTAGATTATTACTGAATGAAAGGAAATTTTCAACCCTTCAAATGCACCCGTCCAAAGTGCGCAAATTTCAGACAGAGCAAATATTCCGAGAAGACAGCGACATCACTTAATTAAATGCAACTTTGTCTGGGCACATTTATAATGGGGTGAACTTGTTTGCAAATATGAAGTGAAAATATTCAAATTCATTCGATAAGAAACCAGTCTAATGTTTTATATCTGGTATACCTGTTTCATTATCTTCATGTACAATAAATCCCATGTGAAAATTGCCAACATTCTGAGGGTACAATTTTTCAAACTCTGCCAGAATTGGATAATGTGTCACAAATAGTGTTTGGCACTGAACCTGTATTTGATTTAAAAAAAAAGAAACGTTATATCTTAAAATGTCTTTGTAAATGAAATTCAACATAAAGCAAATACACATCCATACATGTACAAGTACCAACAAAATGAGATACAATTCTATAAAACCATGAATTTAACCATTTAATAATGTTAAAAGTGAAATTTAGTGAACAAAATGTTCTGCTTTACAATAACCTTTGAGATAAAGTAGTCTAGGGTGGCGTAGGCAATAGCAACACCATCATGTGTACTTGTTCCCCGTCCGAGTTCGTCCAGAATAACCAGCGAACGTGAGGTAGCTTGCGAGAGGATATCGGAGGTTTCCTGGAGCTCTACCATAAAAGTGCTTCTACCACTG